CTCAAGCCATTCCCATGAACCTCTCAGAAGAAATCACAAAAACCATCGCCGACTTGACCCTGAAAGAAAGATCCCACCTTAACTACAGAACGTTTTTTACCATCACATTGCAAAAGCATGGCCTCTTCATGAAAAATCTCAAGTTTCATCTTGATTACCCTTTTCTGAACATCTTCCACATTTACAATTTGCATGGGTTACCAAAAGAAGCACTATGCTTTTTCCAGTATATTTTCGAGTCCTTCACTATTATCATTTCGTTCAATGTTGTCAAGCTATACTCATACTTGTTCCAATGTCAATTCGAGAAAACCCCAAAAGGTACCAAAAATGTCTTCACCCTCTTCAATTGGTTCAATCTTCCTCACAAATGACTCCAAAAAGCTATACACATGCTATAAGACTTATCTAGTCATCATGTTCAGAAGGCCTTGTTCTTTCATACCTCCTACGATAATTACAGAACAAACACAATCAATAGTTTATCATTCACCTTCAGCCTTCATCCATGATTGGTATGACGTTAATTCTTCCAACAAATCCTTTGAAATATACCAAGTTCACAGGCACAAGGAAATACGTGGTCTTCTCGCCAATGCAAATGAAGTAAGTCCCTAGACAATTCCAGAACATGTAATGGAAAACAAAGATTTACGGCCTGCAAAACACCAATTGTCAACAAAGTGGAATGAGTTTGTCCATGGTTTCAAACTCATCTGTCACATAAAATAGATACCTCTGACAAATATGACTCCACAAACAAAGAAGAAGATGACGATTACGACCCATATGAAGAGCATTTTGACACATATGAAGACGATCCATCTCATCCGGATTCACGTTGGAAATAAAATAAAAATATTTCAAAAATTTTATAGTAAAATAATGTGTGCAAATATTTCTTAGGCCTTAAGTATTAGTGTCATGTAAAAATGATTGAAGCTTTAAGTCACTTTTAAATGATGTAAGCATTTACCTCATTTTGAACCAATAATTGGTTGCTTTTGTAATACTTACATCATGGTTATGTAAGGGCACCTTTACCTTTCCTATATAAGGAAGGTTTCTGCCTCATTTGTAATCATCCTTGGAAAGAAATAAAAGCTTCTTCCTTATATTATCTATTATTCTTAAGTTTGTTCTTAAGTTTAACTCAATATTCTTCATGCTTTCTCTTGTTGTGGGTAACCATATCCTTTAGTTTTGGTCATCCTTTATCATATCATTTAGTTTTAGTCATCCTTTACCAACCTAGTTTCCCATCCTTTGGGAATCACCATTTGGTATTAGAATATCCTTTCGAATAGTCTGAATCTTAGTAGTATTCCTCATCTGATGACGAATCAGAATAGGCAATTGGTATATGTAATCTTCTTCCACCGAGCTAGTGTCTACATCAAAGGTACACGTCTTTTTTGAGTTCAAGATATTAAATTCCAAAGAAGTTAGTTCAATAATTAATACAAATACAAGACAAGATATGCATCAATTTTCTAAGGCAATAGATTATGATTCATAATCATTATTTTCACATAAAACTTCATTATCATGACAATATTTGGTTTTGTGCTAAATATGAGTATGTTTTCAAAATTTTGACGACAATATGATTCAATTCAACATAAAACCTATTACTATCATAATACTAAATATTCAGGCAAAAAATAGTGATTATTAAACATAACCTATTAGTTTATAAAATAAATTTTGATTCTTTTTTGCACAGGTAAATGGCAATACCAACTCATCTCAAATCCAAATTTAGCACCCTATACGAGCATTTAAATATAAAGACCACTTTGAAAAAAGAATTACATTTACACAACTGAATCCTATCGACTTTAAAAGCGAATTCTTTAGAATTTATGTGGAAACGCCTAGTTGTTATGTGACATATCGATCTAGGCATTCAATTCAATCTATGTACATGGTTTTATAACATAATTTGTAAAATATAAAATGTATAAAAAGTATTATGAAATTAAACTAAATTATTTTTTAATTTGAATAAATATATTAAAAAACGAAAAAGAAACTATAATAAAGTTGTTCAAATCCTACATTAAAAATATAGTAAAATGAAGAGAAAATTCTAAAAAAAAAAAAACTCGATAAACTTTTGTGTTTTCAATGTTAAAACATTTTTCTAATGAACAAGTCATTGAACATTTCAAAACATATCAAATTAGTCCTTATTACCTAAAACATTTTTGTATAGTTTTGAATTATTTTAAAATTAAAATGTTTTCGGTAAATGGTACAGCCTTTTAATTTCTTTTATTCAACTAATCCGATATTTTTTTAAATAAATTTGTAAAATTATAAAATTTTATTTTTTAACAATGATTATTTGTCTGCATTAAATAAATCTATTTATATATTATTTAATTATTTTTTCTGATAACAATGTTTAAAAATCCAAACTTTTATTAAATATATCAAATATTTTCTTTCAAGTAAATTTGTTATGTATAAATGTATTTTCAAAACTTCTATTATATTAAATGTATCCACCATTTTTATTTTTTGAAATAAGGACATGAATAGTTATAAGAAAGTCAATAACTATACATTTATCCACAATTTATAATTGTAATCATTCTTCGTATAGACAACGTCCCTGATTGACGTTCATATCTCTGATTGTCTGTGGTTTTTACTCTCGACAGGGTTTTCCGCCTCACCAAAATCTCGTCTTGTTTGTCAATGTTTATTTTGGAAGTTTTATCTATAGTTGATTGGCTCCACAATCCAAACCTCAAACTATATTATATGTAATTTTTGGCATAAACAATTTAACAATCTATTTTCAAACTAATATTTCATCTATAGTGCGTGCAGACAATATATCGGATTGTGTTGGTTTTAATCAGGATAGTGTTGCAATGATGCAAGCCGTAATAAATGCCAGTAAACAGCAAAACACCGATCTGTTACAAAGAACAACATTCGCTTCACAATCTTTCCCATCGAATTCCTCAAATATACCCTCGTACACCGGACCAACTTTCTTTAACGCCACAACTACGACTTCAAAAGCTCGTGTTTTACCTCCGCTTCCACCATTTCCATCAAATATGACTTTCTTCCGTTGAGTCACTACCCCGTTTTGTCGATATCCACAACAACTATGTCTGCTATTCCTATCCCAAGTATTTCATTCTTCACCCCTCGTATTTCCTAGACAAAGGAGAAAACGGCCAAGTGAAGCCAATTTTAAAGTGGTATTCGTATAAAACGAACCACCACGAAGGACATTCATCCAGGCAAAGATCCCCTGGACTAGTCAGCTTTACATCCAAAAGGATTTCGGAGATAAGCCTAAAGGCCACCAAATCGCCTCGTCCCTCTATGGACACTCACCAGAACTTTCAACAGCTCAAGTTTTCTTTGCGATTCCACAGGGTTTTTTTGCCAGTTTTATGCTAGAGTTTTCTTCGTCTCGACAACACAACTCCAATTATTATGTTACTTGTGTGGTTTGAATTGTTTGACTTCATATGCATTAGACATACAATATTTTAAGTTATATGTATATCCATATTTATTTTATGCACACACTTTTTTACCACTATATCACGGTGATACCACTATCTAAAATCAAGGTCTCAACAGCTATTTCTACAATCAACCGCATTAACTACTTAGTTTCCTCCCTATTCAAACAAGATCTTTCTATCTATTAGAAAACCACTGTAAACAAAAACCTTTCCAATATGCACACACAAAGTAAACCACAGATTCATCTGTATACATATAGTACTAGATGAAAAAACAACCAAAAAAACACAAGGACTAGATAAGTACAATGTTTGCCAATATACCAACACTTAATCCTACATAGAACAAATGTATAGAAAAACAAAAGTAAAATTGGATTGGTTGGTTTTCTTTAGTTTAAACCAACATAGAACAAGTAGGGTCTTCTTCGGTTTTCTTTAGTGAGGACGCTAACAGATGGCATCAAATTAACGGGTACTCACAAACGGTGGAGCATATGGTTTAATTCGATGCAAAGCGAAGGACCTATACCCATTTTGCAAGAGTCTATTCTAAAACACATACCGGTTATCAATAAACAAATGCATGCACAAAGATAGGTTATCAACTACATTGTTTAAAATCTTCAGTAAATGAATAACAGCAAAACTGCTTGACCTCAGATCTCATAGCTTAATGAATCAACAAGGATTTGCATCTGATAGCATCAATTCATCCAGAGCCTAAACTTCGACACGAAAAAAAACCATTTTGCATTATTGTGTGTGCATGCTTGTGATGAAAAGTTTTGTGATTAATGACGATGAACGACAAAAGACAAAAGAAAACATCCAAAAAACCCTTTATTACCATATGAATATCCATCATACAAATTGCAAGGTTTGGCAACAAAATCTTGATTCAAAAACAGATAAATTCATAGCAAAAGACAGATATCATAAGCATTTTTATATGCATGAAGAACACTTTAGCATAATAGCATGCATAACAGAAATGACATATTATCAGCAAGTGCTTCAACTTTGGTTATATGTGTTGCCCATGGAAGAAACAAGTGCTATGCTCATCTGGTTTCATGAAGCCATTGTCAAGATTTAAGTTAAAGCTTGAAGTTTTCAAAGTTACAGAACTATCCCACCAGCTAGCTTTTCACAGTTTAGAGAGTTGATTTAGAGCTTTATGTAACCTTTATGACTTCCATATAAATTTTGAATAAAATCAAATGAAATTCTATCATAGAAGGAAAAGGGTTGATTTAGGGTGACGCTTTCATCCCAAAGGCACATAAAGTTAACAACTTGAAGCCAGTGAGTCAAATTTCCATACCCTTTTGAACAAAAAGTGCAGACAAAATCTTTGTTCTGAAACAGGGTTCAAAGTTGATTCTTGAATCAGATTATGCAGAGAACACAAATAACATATGTGAACCAAATTATGAAACAACTGAAACACAAGCAACATTTGGTACGAATAAAAGGATTATGCAAAAAATGACTAGAAACCATCAGAACAACTGGATAAATTCATCAATTGATCAAACCCCACATAGAGGTATGAATTTCAGACGACCGTCATGAGAAATTTAATCCAAAATCATCATATGATTTATAAAATTAAACAAACCTGATAGCCGTGAACGTTAAGCATATGATCGTTGATTGCGAATGCGATTGTCGATTTCGATTTCGATTGACCAACGAAGCGTAAAACCAAGGAATCCGCCATTTTTTGTTTCCCCCTCTTTCTAGAGACTGGAGAGCAGGTAGGGTGTTTGAAAACCGGCCCTCATCGCAAAGTGGGGAATTTATAGTGGGCTCCTTACGGTTTTGAGAGGCCCATATTAAAGAATTTGGGTTATGGCGTTTAGGCCATTCATTCCATCCATTCAAATTCAACTAGAGTTGGTAGATGTGGGCTTGGTATATGGACCGGAGTATCATATGACAAAAAAAATCATAGACGTAAGAATTGATCTGGATCCTTGATCATCTTCATTATTAAACTCATCCATACATCGTATTTGATATGAGAATTGATCTCGTGCATCTCATTTTCATGTGCATCCAATAGTCGAGATCCTTTTTTATGTTTCTCACCTCAACTATCTTTCTCATCGAAACCTAACCCTATATGGATTAGTTATAATTTGATGATTTGGGACCTTTTACTAATTTTAGGAATTTCAGTCAAAATTGGTTAGGAGACAGGGACCGGTTATATACAAGATCGATTTCCAAAAAAAATTAAGTTTTTATCAATTATAATACTAGTTTTTCGTTACCTTTATAAGATTTTCAAGGTTCTTTAAGAATATGGATTATTTAAAGTGTATTTAACTGCTAAATTTTAAAAATCATAATTAAAAACACTGATAACAATTTTGTGTAAAAAGACTTGAATTTCTTTTAAGCTATGTCGGAACCGAGACTGATTACTGAGCCTAGGATTTTTGCTCAAAGAATGGATCAGCAAGCGCGATTTTGAAGGGACCGATTTGGGACTAGCCCGAGTCAACATGAGACTGATTTTTAGCCATCTCTAGATTCAACTTAACAATAGTAACGGTCGGATCATTGTCGTTCATCGTTTTCTTGTATTTGTACAATATAGTGAAATGTAAATTTTGTTTTAAATTGAGAAAGAAAAATTAATAGAATTTGTTACTAAAAAGATACAAGTTGATGGAATATTTTGACGTATAGGTAGGATTTAGGGTTTATCATGTTTTTAAACATGCTTAAATATTTGGTAATCGGTTAGTTTTTATGAAGCTAAAACATAGATCTTTACTAAACTGTACATACGTAATAATAAGTTGTAAACTTAAAACTCATAAAATTTTGAAAATATACAGTAAATAATTAAATGGTCAGCAAAATTAAAAGATCATAAGAAAATGAATTGTAATAATAACACTTTTAACACCAATATGAAAACATCGCTACAAATCACCTCCATCATCCAATTTTGTCAAAAATACACATAAGTTGGGCAATAAAGTTGATTGTCGGTAACTTTAACCAACTTACACATAATCCATCTGTAAGGATACCAATGTGAAAGGGGAATTTTTGCCTCACTCAGTGGCTTAGTCTATTGGGGGCGAGAGACGGGATCAAATTCAGAACCTATCTTGTATTTAACCAAAGTCACCCTACCTCTTTGGCAACTGAGCTACATGCTAAAGTCTCCAAAAATACAGATAATATATGCAAGTCGAATAGAAAGAAAGACAAATATTAAAACTTAATACAATTTGTTATTGGTAAAAATCCAAATGTATGAAGCACTCATATGTATTGTAAGATTTAACATTTATCATGTATTTTGACGTGCTTTGTAACACTCGAAAAAAAATAATGACAAAAATAAGTTGGGAATAAAAGGCAGAAGAGAATAATTCAAACGATACTATTTTGGGCTAAAATTGAAAAGAGGAGAAAAGAGTAGGGGAGGAAAGTGTAAACTCCATGACCAATTTTGCCATTAAATGGCATGGGAAGGTGGGGGTCACCGCCCCCTTAATTGGCCGAAGGTTTTATGGAAGCGTACGAGCGTTAGGGGTGTTTGGGATGGCTTATAAAAACAGCTTTTTAATTTATTTCAGTCTGACATCGATGATAAGTTGTTTTATAGTGTTTGGGTAAGGAAAAAAACTGTTTATACCGGTGTCAAACCGGTAATAAGCAGTTTTTGATAAGTTAATCCGTATTGACTTATGAAAATCGACTTATTACCGGTTTACCATTTTAACCCTGAGTAACACCCTATCTCTAATAATCATCGATATCTCTTCTCTATTTTAACAGATATCTCTTCTTCATCGATATCTCACAGATACGTCTTCACCTCTTCTCCAAACGAACACCCCCATCATCATCGCATCTTCTCCAATCGATATCTCTTCCCCTCCACATATATACATCATCGTCTACCCTATACGATGAACAAATCGATACCCTAACCCTAGATACGGTTCGTCTCATCGTCGCCTAGAAAACTTCCCTGCGTTTTCCTGCATAACGAGGTTAGTGATCGATCTTCCCTGTTCCGTATTTCATTATCTGCTAGTCTGTATTTTCTATTTTTGTTCTTTCTACTTTATAGGAATTTTGGTGATTATTCTTCTGTCGTTGACTGGATATTCCTTTGGGTATTGGTATTTATATAATGTTTCAGGGGTTTCTGATTGAGCTACAAATGGTTTGCCTGATTAGATAAATTGGTCTTTCGTTTTGCTTTATCTGTATTTATCTCTCCATTATGGTTGTTCTATAATGTAAATTCCTTCTCTGTACAAATGAGTTTGAGTGATCTTCCGGTAACGTAATTGAAATCGCTGCAATAAAGGAGTAACAGTTGCTTTATTTTGGTCATAATTCATCATTTCATCATTGAAACAGTTACAGTTACTTGATCAAGGTGTGTTTTAATCCTCAAGATTTTTCTGTACAACCTTGTTACTTACTAGTTTACTTGTAATTGTTTCATCCAACTTATGTAGTTTATTATGCTTCTCAGTTTTTGTCATCCTTTTATCTTGCTAATCCGTAAGTAATATGTAAGTAAAAGGTGAATTATTAGGTGATTAGAATATGAATTGAGTTGATGTCAAGTAGGCTGCGATTGGAACACACCAGTAACAACACAAACTAAAGGAATCAAATCCATAATACGATCATCCAAAAACTCCCCCATCCCTAAATACTTCATACAAATCTCAATTATTTTCTCTAAACAAATGGGTTTCAGCTTATTGGTTTTTCATAATCATTGAAAATATATATACATGTATAGATAGACGGGATCACATAAAACCTTTTTTTGCACTTGAAACTTTACAGCAAAACGTTGTAAATGTAAAAAAAAAAGCCGAATTTTTACATTACAAGGCTTAAGTTTATAGGACCATGCTTATGGGCGTCCTAATTATTTTTTAGGATATTTTGAAATAAAGGATTTACCAATGAAAATTACAATGAAGATGTACCCGTACATATTTTAAATAACTCTCGTTATTATCCAATGTTCAAGGTACTTCCTATATTTTGTTTTGTATTTGACCGTAACATACTCATAGATTAATAAATTATTTTACTTATATGTGTAGAATTGTATTGGTGCTATCGATGGGACACACGTAAGAGCATCGGTTCGAGAGCATGAGCAAGCAAAATACATTGGTAGGAAATGATATGCGACGCAAAATATTATGGCAGCTTGTGATTTTAATATGTGTTTTACGTTTGCATGGGCTGGATGGGAGGGAACTGCACATGATACACGGATATTCTTTGAAGCCTTACGCAGAACTGAACTTAAATTTCCACATCCAATCGGTGGTTAGTATTTTTTTTTTTTTTGTAGTAATGCATACTTTTATGTTTTCATACCATTTGAAACGAATAACAGTAGTTTGTTTATTTTTCATAACAGACTAGTTGTGTACCCGCGCAATGCGGCGAGAGCCATGAATTTTAACGATTTTAAAGTTCCACTGGTTTTATAAGATAAGAGTTAATGATGAAATAGGTTACACTTGGTCTTTACATATTAATACAATTTGAATAAATAAGAGTTATGGTTCCAATTACAGAATATCAATGAAAAAAATTGTATAACAGTTTAAAATTCAATATATTTAAAATCCAACATATTTAAACGACTCCACAAATGTGTTCGATTTACACCAAGAGCAAAGAATCAAGAAACTTGAGTTTTAAGATAAATACTCAAAACCAATAAAGAAAACTACAAATTTGACAGATCATAAGCCATGAAAAGACAAAAAAAGATGGGTTTTAGAATGAAATTTCAACTGCTTACATGTATATATATATTTCAAAAAAACCCAAGAACATATTAATTCAGAACATATTATACAGTGCAATTTGGACAGTATAACCCCAAAATATATAGTATATATATAAATAAATAACTATAAAAGTATAAATCGTAAATATTAAAAATATTTTTTCACAGTATATACAATATATAATAATATAACTAAGTCAAAAACTATTCAATATTTGACTCATTTCGAAGGTATTRASGAGACGATTATAATGGTGTAACTTGTTAAAATAAAAATGTATTTTTTAAACATGTTTTAATTGATATACGATTATGTATGTTAATTTGATAAATGTTTAAAATGAAACATTTAAAAGTAAACGACGTAAAGTAAATTAAATAACTAATTCTAGTGGTATAAAGTGTAAATTTAAAATTATAATTTAAAAAAAATCGGTTGTGAGAGGGTGAATGTATGTGAGAAGAGGAGGGGGTGAAAAGGTAGTATAAATGGTATCATGGTCATTTAGTATTTTAAGACTTTAAGACTTTTACTAAATTTAATAAGATAGTATAGATAAGTATTATGTTGTTGATGCCGGATATCCAAATACTAAAGGTTATCTTGTCCCATACAAAGGAACAAATATTCTTTATCACATACCTGATTTCCGTCGTGGACAAACTGCAGCAATATGTGCTCCCAAAGAAGCAAAAGAGACATTTAATTATTATCACTCATCRCTGAGGAATGTTATTGAACGAACTTTTGGAGTATGGAAAGCTAGGTGGCAAATACTAAAAGATATGCATG